GCGAAAAAGTCTGTGGTCTTGGTTGGGGTACCAAAAATGAGAAAATCGGTTGTGTTGTTGTTGTGGTGCGCGGAAGCGATGGGTCGGTACTGTGGTTGAAAAATCGAAGGTGACAGAGGATTTAGGCGGCGCACAATGTCAAAGATCGCGACTCGCGGAGGGCAGCAGCCATACAAGTTAGCTTGCAGTTGAGGATCTGAATTATAAATGCGAGCCAGGTAAGCGCGCAGTAATGGTAAACAAGGCAAAGCTGTTCCGGTGAAGGCAGCAGGATGTTGGCGGCGATGACGACCTCGCAAAGTCGGCCATGTGACCTTGAATTAGAGAGAAGATCCCCCCCAGGTGCACTACTCACAATGCCACGATCTCCTCAACATGAAGTCAAACGTGCGAGAATGCCATGTCTTTTCTCGCATTTGGAATAGTTAGTTGTCTTGATGTCCTTCTGAAGACGACTGCAAATAACCCAACCACTTCAAGCTTTACGATCTCAAGAGAGCATTCGTAAGCAGATTCTGTCAGAAAGAGGGATGAGGAGTAGAAGAGGACAACAAATACTTTGTGAAGTAGTCCCTACCATGCGTGCACGGCGCTGTGCAATGGATTGAACCCAGCATCACCTGAACTGTACCGCTACCATTACGACATCTTCAGCGTCTGAACGCCTACACGAAGGAAAGCCTCGTGCTCCGAGGGTCGAAGTGCAAAGACGTGCTACCCGGGGCCAATAAAGCCCTTTTCGTCTCCGCCATCAAGATGTGTGAAGCACCTGCGAGAAGTGAGAGCCGAGCTTGCATCGAGTCACATCCTCTCCGACGTGGCTCGCAACGCGATTTTGAGCGCGTAACGCGATATCGCAAGATGACATGCATGCGCGCAGTGAAAGTCCGCGCAATACTAAATCTTCGTCATGATATTTCGACCCCGTGCGATATCGTTCGAGATCTGTGCAGCCTTTGAGGCAGACTTCGCGTGCGCTGACAACATGACGTCATGAGCATTGCATTCGTTCGCGTGCCGCCAATCGGAGAATGAAGAAGTCATGATACATAGCGAAAATTGAGAGCGAAGGCATGGTGTCTCAGGAAATAGACGGGATGCAGGATGGGATAGAACGTCGGACGTGAGAAGAAGCTCGCAACACGCGACGCGACTGCCAAGGCTGACTACCTAGGTAGGTTTGCCGATCCCTTTCCCTTCCCCGCCACTCCCCTATGCGCGTCATTTCGACGGACCCTTCCCATCATGAAAGCTTCGTGGTATCAACTGCGGTCTTCGTGCGCACCCCCTTAAATCGATTATTTCGTCCTCTATTCCATCCGTCGACCTCCTGATCATTGTTCCAAGATTGTCTGATTGAGTTACCGGAAACGCAACACCAACTCCATGTTTGATGCTGCCATCCCCAGAGCCTACGGACAGCGCTTCATCACAGGTTAAGGAACAATCACGTCTGTTTGAGCTTGACGCATCATCCTGGGCCGTCAGCATCCGGATGTTCACCTGGGCACTGTTCAGCACAACTGCATCAGCTATTCGAGATTCGAGCGCCACGCGCTTGACCAGCTCACATGTTCTGACGTCCATACCAGGCCCAGAACAAAGACGACGATAGATCTTGACGAGAGTCTAGTGACACCGTGCGAAATTGGGTTCGGAACTGGGACCTTATGAGCTGTAGTGTACATGTGGTCGAGCTGATCGCCACGGTTGGATTCTTAAAACCGCATGGCGTCTCCAATGAACGGTCAGTCCGATATCAGTTATACAGTCGAGCTCCCTGTCAACACGGCCGGCGATGGTAGGCCTTACTACTGCCGAGCTATCGGCGACAGCTATTCGCCATGTTTCTACGTTGCTGATGGTCGATGGCGTGGTAAGCTTACGCCCCAATGTAGACCCCGCTTCGTAAGGCCTTCGTCTATTCAAGGTTGGACCAAGCGTTCGAAGCCCTATATGTACAAGTATCCGGCATAACATTTGTCCTTCGTCGCTTTTACTCGTCACTATAATCTTCTCCGCCCCATCTCAAGATGAATACCAAACGCCCGATCAACGAAGCAGACATCGCGGAACTTAGCGAATTACTGATAGATACAGATGCCCAGTTAGTGACACCGAAGGAAACTGAGGCATACAAAAAATCCATTCACCGATGGTCAAGCGCTGCTGTGAAGCCCGCGGGAGCATGTCTAATTCCAAAATCGGCAGAAGCAATCTCAATCACCCTCAAGTATGCTTCCGAACACAATCTTGATCTCGCCGTCAAAGGAGGTGGTCACTCGACTGCTGGCGCATCATCAACGGACGGCGGACTACTCATCGACTTGAATACACATATGCGTGCCACCGACGTCGACGTCGAGGGAAGAACGATCAAAGTCGGCGGAGGTGCCGTTTGGGGTGATGTTGACGAAGCTCTCGCACCGTATGGTCTTGCGGCAGTTGGTGGCACCGTCTCAGATACCGGCGTTGGCGGTCTCACTTTCGGCGGCGGCTTTGGCTGGCTCACAGTCAAACACGGACTGGTTGTCGACAATCTCATTTCATGTACTGTCGTATTGGCGGACGGCAGTATCGTCAAAGCCTCTACCGATCAGAACCCAGACCTTTTCTGGGCTCTGCGCGGCGCGGGGCAGAACTTTGGTGTCGGCATTGAGTTTGTATTCCGCACCCATGAGACAGGCGATCTGTGGGCTGGCTTCATGATGTTTCCACCAACGCCAGATATTATCAAGAAAGCCGTGGAATCATGTAACGATATCTTCACCCCGGATGCAGCCGGCAATTCAAAAGCGACGGGGAAAGCTGCGAGTGCTTTCGGTTTCGTCAGGCCTCCACCTGCTGGTGGTCAGGTCCTGTTCTTCGTAGCCGCGATCTACCATGGCTCGGAAGAAGATGGCAAAGAGCTATTCAAGGATATCGTTGGGTTGGAACCTTTGATGAGTACCATGGCAATGATGCCGTACGCCAAGGCAAACAAACTCATGGATCTACCCATCGGTGCGCGTGTCTCTATCAAGGGAGCTGGGTTCGAGCTTCCTGTCCGTGGCGACTTTGTGGTATCCGTCTTGGAGGCGTACGCCAAATTTACTGACGAGACGTCCGATGCAGTCGGCTCCCAGGTTATGTGGGAGCTGCTAGACCCGACGAAGATTGTTGAAGTCACCAACTCTGACATGGCCTTTGCGAACCGCGGAAGACACTTCAACGCGGCAGTTGCTCCATTGTGGTGGGATCAAGGTCACGATCAGAAATGTAGGCAGTGGTCGAGGGATGTTGCGCTCTTATTCAAGAACGAACTTCAGCGTGGTGGCGCTGACGCAGCGGCGAGCAACGATGGGTGGATTGGCAAGAGAGGCAGTCATGGAGCGACAATGGTGTATGGGAACTACGACCGTAAGTACTCTCCAAAGCGTGAAATCCTCACTTATATAACGCGAACGCGGGAAAGATATTGTTATGCAGGCAGGGGTATGCTAACACCCAAACAGAGTACGAAGAGAAGTCCAGAGACGTCTTTGGTAACAACTACGAACGTTTGCAAGATCTGAAGGCCAAGTACGACCCACACAACATGTTCAACAAGCTCTTTGCTGTAGAACCGAGAGCGTCGACTCCCTAGATATACTTGTATACATTGTTGCCAACCTCGCTAAACGTAGGTGTACAATGTAACCCAGGACGTGACAACTCATTCGCAGGATCATGTCCATCAACCGAAAACTCACTTGTCGCCTCCAAAGCCATCTTTCCTGTTTTGTAACTGAGCACAAATTGTATGTTGTATTCCTAATACTGTGTCGCATGAGAGCTAGTTTCGGTGCTCCCCCTTCATTGTATCGCCCTACTGATGCTTTCCCTGCGGCTCCACCCAATATGGTAGTTCTTGCCGCCCGATCCGTCGAAGCATATCCACAGTGTTCCTATTTCTACCTTGTCTCTCCAGCCTCTTAGCAACTAAAAGAAGCAAGGCCTTCAAGGTGAAGTTTGCATCGTTTCCAGCACAGTGTAACCGGTTGTATGGACACTCCAATGTTCTAAGTAGATCACGCAAACCCCCAGCCCAGTCTCCAAACACCTCCTGTGCGACTTGGGAAGTATCTAGGGCGACTGAGAACCGAGTCGGAAACTGGAAGCCCAGAGCTTGCAAGGCTCGGAGATCGTTCATGACTCCGTGGCCGACAAGCATAACGTCTCGATCTGCGGGGATGATATTTTGAACGTGCTGTGCCAACTCAGATGACTTGATGGCAACCGTTTCCCCGAAGTGGAATTTGTCAGATGCTTTGTCGACGTACGTACCCATAGCGAAATTGTACGTTTTTACGAGTTCCTCGGGCAGCTTTTTCTTCATCTCTTTCGGATCAAGAATAGCGATACCCGCTTCGCAATCTGGTTCGACAGTAAATCCGCCATTGATAGTGGAAGTGTTTTCGACATCGATTGCTACAAGGACAGGACTTGATCTGCTTTTGGATGTAGGTGATATATGATCGTGGCCGAAGATCCCACGCAGTTGGTTGAGACTGTCTTTTGCAACTTTTGGTGGCTCTGCACAACTAGCTCCCCCGACTGTATAGGCTTTTGATGACACACTTGCGGCCAGAAACGGTTAGCTTTAACAATTACGTGACTTTACGCAAACAGGCTCTTTGATTCTAGAGTAACTTACGGACTAGCGACCACCGATGATAAGGCTCTCGTCGATGCAGCTCGACTTTTGACTGTGGAGAGTGCAAATCGGCGGGCGTTTCTTACAGCGAAAAGAACACGACGCATCTTGATGTGTGCTGAGCAAAGCTAAACATTGTCTTTACGAATACATTAGTATGATTATGTCTCTTAGCTGAGTTTGGCGAACAAGCAGCCGTCTTTGTTTATCAACAAACACGAGAAGAGACCAGTAACAACGACCCCGGGAGACTACAATGAAGCGAGCCGCAGATCTTGTTGCATTCCTGAGTGTATGTAGCCATAAGCTATCGATATTTGTCCGTCTACCAAACACCCATCTTGTCGAGCTCGACGGGACTCAGCTCACGCCCATCACCCCATACATCTTCGGAAGGATCGAGGCGCTTGTATATCTCTCCTTCATGTGCAAAGCGGCACTGTTTGTTCTTGCACGTGCCCTTCTTGTAGTCTTCGCATGCAACTCGCCTGCAACCTTTCTTGATGCCTCGCATCGAGCAGTTCTTGCATAGAATCCCGCGGTCGCAATCCCAGTTGTGTCGCATGCACTGGGTGCAGTGTGCGAAGCGTTCAGATTTGCCTTTGAGGTGCGCAGGAACGGATCTAAACAGAATTAGCCATGTAAGTAGTAAGAGCTGTCGTGTACTAACGCAGGGCCTTTTGCAACAACGGCCTTGTCAGATGACTTGAGTGCGTTGGACTGGAGAGCAAGCGCATTCTTCGCAGAGTCGACCAGCTTCTTCGGTAACTCCGCCCTCTCTTCCTCGAGTTTCTTGACCAGAGCATCGTGCGCGTCATACATGACTTTGAGCTCCTTGGCTTTGGCACACACTTCACCTTGAAGTAGCTGCATCGCTTGGGTAAGTGCCTGGATCTCTGCCGTGTTCTTGTCGCGTATCTTGTCAAAGAGCATGTGGAAGGCGTCAATCGTGATCTGTAGCTCTTCTTTCTCTCGCTTGAGACCGTCGACCTGGATTCTGAAGTCAAGCTTTAGATGCCTCATAACCTTCTCGTGATCGGACTCCCTCGTCTCTAACTCTCTCTGATACTCTTTGGCAGCCGCCTCTTCTGCTTCTTGTTGCGCATATCTCTTCTCTGACTCTTCCAAGAACGTTTTGTAAGGCTCCGGCAACCAGAACTCACGTGGTGCCGGCTCATTTTCTTGGAATTTGGTTTGCAGGCCGTTCATGCCGACGTTGTCCGTCTGTGCCGGCGGCGCTTGCCAGATTGATGGCGGTACGGGGGCGTTGAGCTTAGCCATGATTGGCAACTGAAGAAGAGTTAGTTCTGCGGATGCAATCAATTGTATGACTGCGAGGGCGAGGTTCGGCGGTGACGGTTCAGTGTTGTAGCTCAGACGGGCCACGAGTATTTCGTGCCGGACGCACCTTCACCTGTGCGGCCCTACGCGCAAGCGAACAAACAACAAACAACAGTCGGTGAAAGTGAAAGTGACTTAGGTCGCGCCTTGATAGCTCAAGACCTTAGTCCACTCTCCACCCCCACCACATTTGCCATCTAACGTCTTCCGCGATTGTTCTTGCCAGCAACCACCCAGCCGCACCTTCTCCATACGACTCAAACGCAAGGTATCCGTCCGCTTTTCACCCAATTTGGAAGACGTCACTAACAGCCAGCCCCAAGCTCGCCGCCACCATGTCCCTCCCCCAAAGCCCAATCGATCCAGTCGCTCGCCTCGAAGCAGAACTCGCGCAAGAGAAAGCCGCGCACGCGCGCACGAACAAAAAGCTGGAAGCCATTACTCATCTTCACGCCAACCAGGCGATTACTATCAGTTCTCAGATCGGCATCATCAGGTCGCAGATCCAGAGGCACCCCGAAGACATCTCGGACATCCAGGTTGAAGCCAGGAAAGCGGAGAACGAACGCCAGCGCAGGACATCGGAGGTGAATGCAACTGGAAATGGGGCGTAGAGAGCGGGACGGGATTATGAGAAAAGTTCCCACGGCTATGCGCATTATCTCGTGAGGCATATGTAGCGAATTGACTGGGTAATCAAGGCTGGGCTCGTCAACTTGCGGGGATGATACAGTATAAAAGCGACAACCTGAACCAATCTACAAACACATACTGAGTATCGCACTGCATTCTTTCTTCCTCCAGGTTCTGTCATGACTACACACAATATAACATCTCTCTTACCCGAAAGACTCTTCATTCTTTTTGCAGTGATTGACCATCCATCTCTGCTTCATCGACTGCAATTTCTCAGTGTAACGAAGTGTAACGAAGTGTTACGTACCGTCATGTCAGACTATCTAGACCGCAAAGACAATCGAAACGACATATATCTTGTGTTGTTCTCCTTTGTACACTAGAATTTGAACCACGTGAGATGGCCGCACTTTCACTTTCACTTCGACTAGCCAAGCGTTGCCCCACCACTTAGCTGCATTCTGCCTAGACAGCTCGCGTCTGCCTAGCGTAGGTTTTCAGATATATCTGAAAATCCGCCCTGACTTGACCCCGCATCTCTTCATTGTATCGAGCAAGATTTCTGCCTACAAGCATGGCCGACCAGCGCGCAGTCAACGACGTCCAGGACAGCGTCCATGAGGACACGGAGATGCATGAAGTAGGCGGCGAAACTGACCGTCCCGATAACGAGTACGGCAACGAGGAAGACGCCGACGACTACGAGGACGACTACCCGGAGCCCACCATGATGCGGGATATGTTCTTCGAGAACAACACTGAAGAGCTCGGCTACCTTCTTTCTCAGAGCGAATCAAGGGCGCCATCTCCGTAAGTACTCACGCGATTTACCATGTACTTTGACTGACAACATCTAGCGATCCGTCAGGCAACGCCGACATGGGCGAGCCACTCACTGCCGAGGAAGAACGTGCGGACGCCAAGTATCGCATCAGCCGTCTCACGTACCACCTGTCGCTCTCCAACACTGCGAATGAGCGCCTACAGGACGCTAGGACTGCCTTGATCGCGGACAAGGAGAAAGTGATGCAGGCAGCGAAGGAGGCAGCGAAGGAGGCCGAAGAGAAGATCAAGGATGCAGAGGAGAAGGTCAACGCTTTGAAGCTCCAGCTAGAGACTTACAAGCAAGCTGCCATCAGGGATGCGATAGCGCAAGAGAAGAAGGTCGCGCAGCTGCAGCTGCAAATGGAACGTATGTCAGTGCAGAACAGCGGTATAGCCCCGCCTGCTGCTGTCGCGCCGGCTGTAGTTGCAGTCGCTTCGAACGAGGTCGCCATGCTTTCGCCTCCAGTCGCTGTCCCTCCCACTGCCATCGCGATAGGCGCACAAGGTTACAGGTAAGCCACTGATAAATCATACGACTGCTATTGTACATGCTAACACGAATCCCTATAGCAGCATCGGTGAAGTATCGTCAAGGGCCTACAACCGCGTCATCAAGTGCAAGCACTGTGCTGCCAATGGTCTGGCATGCGACAGCACTCGCGACAGCTGCGCCGAGTGTGCTCGCAATGGCGCCGTGTGCATTCGTCGTCGTTGCGATCACTTCAGGCATCTTGCGGGATCTTGCAATGGCGGTGCGTGTGATCGTCTTCACAAGGATGATTGAGACCTGAGTGGAATGCATTGTTGCTTCTACGTGGATTGGATACATTGAAGGGTGTATAATAGAGGCTGCATTCCAGAGTGTTGGTGGATAGGTTAGGGATACACGACGATACCCTGGGATCATCACCGGCGTTCACGGCGTGTAATTTCGAACGTATATAAAGACAAGAAGGTTACGTAAAGATCATTCAAGCACAAGCAAAACTCCCACTACCTCCTTCAGATATTACCCCCAGCTCAACAACAGACCGAAAAAGTAAGACTCTCCCCGTGATGTCGCAAAACCCCGAATACTGGAAGCCTAACCGATTCACCATTCAGTCCAACCACAACCATGAAGCTCATCACCGCCCTCGCAATCCTCGTCGGTGCTACCGCCGCTATCGCCATCTCACCCCTCGAAGAAGTCCACGCGCAAAGCTGTGCCGCTCGCCCCTGGGGCTGCGAGAACGGCTACTGTTGGAAGCAATGCGGCGACCCAGGAGAATGGTGCTGGCTGGCTCTCGATGGAGGCAGCGGTGGTTGGGTGACGTGCGCAAACGATGGTGCCTGTAATGCAAACAGTCTCCCTGGGACTGGATGTCGCGGCGGGTGCAGCTGCTGAACATGAGAGAGGAATGCGAACGAAGGAGGCTTCTCAACTCCGCTGTATCAGCCCACCACTCATTTGGGCTCTTTGCTTCCAGGAAAGGTATCTAGAAAGTGTTCGAGAACATCAATCACTTCTGCTTGAGGGCTTTTCGCGCTACCGTTCCGCATCTTGTGTGCGTTTTCATGCTTCTTTCTTGTGGCTACTGCTTTGCGATGTGCACGGCTCTTGACGTGTAAACTCCAGTCATTCTCGGTGATTGACGTCGTACCGCATGTCTCACAGACTTTCTTCTGCCAGAGGTCTGGTCGCTGGCCTAAATCGTACTCGCGCTTCGGCATCAGCATTTCTGCTGCTGCTGGCGATAATGTCGAGGGTGAGGGAAGTGGTTGGCCGGAGAGGAAGTGTTCGGTAATGGCTATGGCGGGTTTGGTGACCTTGTCTTCCCATTGAGATATGTTGGAACCGTCGACTAGGAACGTGGTGTTCTTTTGGCCTGCACTGATCAGTGCATTGAGAAGCTTAATGCGTATCCACTTGATCTGCCGATTGGCGTATTGACGGGTAGCAGCTTGCGTCTTCTCGATGGCGAGGGTCTTGAGCTTCTCCAGCTCGGATGCTTCGCGTGAGTTGTCCGAAAGAGCGCTTTGGTACTCCAAAAACTCTTTGTATCCTATGGATACCCAGATACCGCGAGTTTGGTCTATGCTCGCACCAGTATTAGATTCGTGGCGTTCACGGAAACTACCGAGTTCCTCAACTTCAGAAAGCAGACCTCGGGCGATCATCTTATCAACACGGCCATCAAGACGGCGATGCAGCACGTCCTTGTTGGCGTGCACCCAGAACACAAGAGTTTCGAAACGAAGGCCTGACCGACTATCCGATGTTGTGCCATCCGCTTGGACAGCAGAGGCCTCGCGTTGAAGCTTTTGCTCTTTGTAGAGCTGCGAAGCTGGTTTGCCTGTTCTTAGATATATCTCAAGTGACCGCTGGATTTTGCGCCGCTCATTTGGATGCCACCGATCGGCCATGATGGGATCAACTTCCCTTAGCTTTGTGTGCAGGATGTCGGTCGGCTCTTCAAGTATTGGTAGAGGTTGGCTATTCTCATTCAGATTCAACTCGGGCTCATCTGATAGCGCATCCTGGAACAAGAGTGACTGCGTATAGTAGTGAGTGCCACCAACTAAGACTGGTAGTTTGCCTCTACCTCGAATTTCATCGATCTGGTCATGTCAGTAACCACCTGGAATGAACGTCGTTCAGTCATACTGTTCTCAAAGCCTCGCCTACGAATTTCCCCACAGTCCAAGTCTCTTCTTCAAGGCTAATGCAGCCTAGGAGATGATGAGGAACCCCTTTCGTCTCCTCTTGTGTGATTTTATTGGTGATAATAGGCAGTCCACGATACAGTTGCATCGCGTCGCCGTTGATGATTTCGCCATTATATTTCCGCGCGATTTCTACTGCCAGCTACCTGCTGTGGTCAGCAGGATGAAGCGTGACTGGAGAACTTGAGCTTTACATCAGACTTGCCAGTCCCTGTCGCACCGACGATGGTGATTAGAGGCTTTCGCGGCGCTTGCGCCATTTTGATACTACTGAATGCTCGTGCGAACCGTAACATGCATTTGATGGGACGACCGGAACGGCTGCCAATGACTGAGTGACGGAAAATGTTGGTTAGCGTCATGCGGGGACGCGCCTTTCCGCTTCGGTACTGGCACAGTCTTCCAACAATGGATTCATCAACTTGAAATATTTCACTTCCAACGATCTGAGGTTTATAGATAGTCTTGTCTTGTGATGTGAGCGATATCGTTGATGTTGAACATTGTGTTATTGACTCCTGCAGGACATATGGATTGGATCGTGTACGAGTGAGTATCGCGTATAGCTATAGGCGAACTGTACGTGTAATGAAAAGTGTCTGTTGAACAAGATGGGGTATCATCGTTGAGTGCCGCCCAAACGCCTGTTGAAACTCCATCGACACGCATTGTTGAAGCATGCCGAGATGTGTTCTCCTTCTCCACCCGGTTCTACTCCTTCTCCACCCTCTTCTCGGCCCCATAACCACCCTTACCCTCCAGATTCTGATACGACGCGCCCTCACCCTTCCCATTTCTGGGACCCCGCTCTGTCAGATCTTCCTGCAGCCACTTCAACACCAGCTCACCCAGCTGACTATTTCCCGTGTACATGCGCTCGCCCTGCTCGACCTTGACATCCATATCCTCGGTGCTGCCCCACTTCTTCACCTTGCCCAGGCTCATGTGCACGAGATGTGTGGGCCATGTTGCGAGGTTATCCAGGATATGCGTCGCGTATACGATTGTGCAAGGTCGTTCCTCTGTCTCCTTCTTCAAGAAGTTGAGGAAATTGCTGCGCGACAACAAATCGAGATCAACGGTGATCTCGTCCAGCAGCAGGATAGTCCACGGTCTCAGCAGACCCATGGCAAGTTGTACACGCCTTCGCTCTCCGTCGGATACGGCGTGCATGCGCCAGCTGAGGTCGATGTCGAGGATGCGCACGAGTTCGTCGCGGCGCTCGGTGTAGTGGTCGCCGCCGATGGAGGAGAGAAGCGTGGGCACGTCGATGTCGGTACGGACGATGGGGTTGAGCACCCATTCTAGACCGAGGTAGGTCACGCCCTCAAGGCCCATCTTGAAAGGGTCGATGCCCGCGATGTGGACGGTGCCGGAGGGGGCCATGCGCTTGCCGGAGAGGAGACGGAGGAGCGTGGTTTTACCCGCGCCATTGGCTGTGAATGTTAGTTAAGATCTTCATGGCCATCGTTCATTGTTGCATACCTCCGATCAAAAGTGTTCTGCTGCCGGGTGGCAGGTCAAGGAAGACATCTTTCAGCCCACTCGAGCCATCGGGGAAGGCATAGCAGAGGTTCTTCACGTCAATTGACGGCGCGACTTCCTTGCTGTTGGCTGTGTTGGACATTGTAGCGTGGGATTGCGTGTATAATGGCTGTTACACCGGTGGTGGGAGGAGACTACATTTTGTAGGCAGCTTACGGTGGAGTCACCTCGGTGGGCTAGACTTCCAAGTCGACATGAGTGATGCCATCATTCCGCTGGGGTCCGCACTAGTCCCAAACAGGCAGGCACCGTCCTAGACCCTGACGGCACTTCGTCTCAGCCTCAACTTTTTCAACTTTGTCCTACTTTTCGAACTATCGTTCATGGTTTACTGGCGCAGGGTCAGCTGTGCATCGTGGTCCGGTATGCTCCGCGGCGCTATGTCATCACGCAACTCCGAGATCGCAATGCAGCCTCACCAACGCCATCACCATAATAGAAGATTTGAGCATTTCCTACGAAATACGCATGTAAGGATAGAAGGCTTAGTAGTGATGGGCATGAGGACAGTTTGTAATGCACAAAAAACGTATCGCGATTGATACTGCACGTCTAGTCATGAAGCAAAGCACGTGTAATTCGACAAAGCCACCGCCCACGCAAAGCAAAAACACACGTTCCATATATATACAACCACTGTCTTCCTCCTATGTACAATCATCCCATCGTCCCCATCTACTCGACATGACAGATCATTCTGGCGATGCGCTTAGAGAGAAACGCAGCCGGAGCTGGAGTCCTCAAGGAAGAGACCACCGTAGATCTGGCCCTCATCAAGGTTCGCCTCCTGGAAACCAGCGTTGGCGACGTCGTCAGTACCAGTGGGCTTCTTGAGGATGCCCATCTGGAACTGGCCGAGACCAGCAAGGTTGACGGACAAAGGTCCGGCGACCTTCCTGAGCTCCTGTTGGCCGGCGGAGTAGAAGATGGTGGTCTCGCTACAGGGTTGTTAGTATATATTCTGGAAACAGGAGTGAGCAAGAACGTACTTCTTGGTGTAGTCGAGGGTCATAGCAAAGTTCTGCCACTGGGTCTGGTCGATCTTAACGTTCCAAAGCCACTTGCCGGCACGGTCAAGAATCTTGAACTGGTCCTTGTCGGCATCGCTCTTTCCAATGAGAGATCCAGTCTGGAACTGAATCTGGTTGTTGCTAAAGTCGGCAGCCTCGTGCCAGACGTTGAGGTACTCGTGGGTGAGGTTCAAAGGCCTGGCAGCGTCCTGCTTGACACTCCAGTGGAGGGTCTTGACACCCTTGCCACCCTCGCCGTCAGGGGCATCCTTGAGGAACTGGAGACCGGCGCGGCGGAATCCTAGCTGCTTCTGGAAGATGGAGTCATCGGAGATGGTCACCTCAACAGCCTTGAACTTGTCGCCATCGAAGCGCGAGGATTCGTTGGGGAACTTGAGGATCTGCGACCAGGTCAGGTTGTTACCCTTGACGAAGTCGGCGTTGAAGAGCGTGTTGGTGGCCTGGGTGTCGAAGGAGACGGGTGTCATGTTGGCAGGGACACGACCGTCGAAGACGATGGGGCACTTGGGCTCAGCGGCGCGAGTGACATGGGGGTGAAGGGCGGGTGCAGCCAGTGCAGTGGAGGCAACTGAGGCCAAGGTAATGAGCGTAGAAGTGAACATGATGATGGTTCAAAAGAATGTAGTAGAGACTGTGGATGCGCTGGATGTGGATGAGACGACAATAGTGGGTGGGTGGAGACACTCTTTATACAATTCTCAAACGCGTCACTGAACGCTTCCTTACCCCAAGTCCATCTGAGCACGGTTCATATTAGATGAACATGTCGGTGCCCACGCGTCCGGCTTGTTCCATGGCCGAAATATAGGGATACCCGCGCCTTCATTTGGCGTACTGCAGAAAGTAGACAGCTAACCAATGGCACAGGCAGGAGAATAGTGATGGAATATTCTATAGTAGGCCCGACGACGTCAGGGTAAGGCCGCATTAATATAGGTGAAAGACGCTGCTGTCATGAGGCTCCTTAACCGGGATGTGGGGTAATGTGCACGGCTGCTGGTCAAGTACCGGACGGACCGGCAACCCGTTGCTTTTTAACCTGGGAGTGTTAAGAAGAGGAGTCGCGCCGACTGTTGTACTCGGAATGAGAACGATCTTTTACCGTCCACTGCACCTCGATCCAACTCTTCATCACATCGCGATCCTTTTCGAACGAGACCTACTGCCTTCACTGCCCAAAGCGCAATTTCATGCGTGGAGCAGCAGCGACAACCGACATTTTCAGAAAGCGACCGAATCAGGCCGTCAAACACACCGGCGCCGCCAAGTTTCATCAACACCGGGAATGCGACCGATTCGTAATGATCTGAACAAGCATGGCTGTCAGCAATGGGCTGAATGTGGTTCTAGAGTCGTTCGCGACGCTGGGCATAATGTTGAAATGGAGAGGATATAGTGGTGTCAAGAGTTGGCAGCAGCCGTTCGGCGACGCGCAAATGGTCCAAGCGGAACAACTGTATTCCACCCACCGGCAGCGGAAGGTTAAGCCTCCGCTCTGGACGAATTTACTCAAAATCGTCCATCTACCTACCACGAGGGTACCTCAAGGGCCGAATGCGCGTCGGGCAGATGTGAAGATGTGTGCTATTATCATATACAGGTCTAACGCCCGCGGTATCATACCGCCTCGCAGTTTATGCCCTGCGTCTATGCTCAAACTCTGTTCATTACATATTCGCCCAAGAAGCTCATCGGCCTGATGTCCATCTTCCTGTCAACATGACGCTTGCTCAACGCGCTGTTTGCGACGCTCCACATATCCAAAGTGATGTGCCAACCCAGAACGCCATGCATGAACGTGGTGCAAGCAACCGCAACGCCTCCCTATGTGTCACTGGTCTCGAATTCAAGTCCGTCTCTATACGCTGACATATGAGTGTTTTTACATCTCTTGAGGGGTCAGCCAGGTGGCTTCGACGCAACCTTCGTAAAACTCTCTCTGGCCATTTTGTCCCTCGACACCAAAGCCCATGTCGCGGAGCTTTCCGGTGTCCCAGCCACTGACGAACTCGCCTTGACCGCCGTTTTCTCGGTCGACAGCATCGCCAAGCTTGATGTAGTCGGCGTGACGACAGACGGTCTGCGAGTAAGACCATTGGAGGCAGTTGCCGTCATTAGCGCACTCTGAACCGCACGAGCCGGCGTTGCGATGTGCGGGACGATCGTTCGGTACGGGCGCTTGCGAAAGGTTATCCCACCATTCTTTCGACGGACCCTGTGATAGGAAGCCGTGGGTATAAGAGAGGAACGAGGAGTAGGTAAATGGTTTCTATGACGTGGTGTTAGTCAGGTAGCTTGACTTGGAGCTGAGGAAATGCTTACCGTGTTGTACGGCCGTGTCCTTTCCCACCTCCACAAGTCTTCCATCTGCTGTGGCTTGAGCTGGTGCAGCGAGAGCATTGGCACGCACCACTTGTCGCGTGTGGTGGTCACATCTTTGAGCTTGTCGCTAGCAAAGGTAGGGTACATGGGCTCGAGCTTGTGGCCGGTCGCGTTCTGGATGGCGTAGGCAAGGACAGCGTCGCCGCGCTGCTCCTCCTTGACCCAGTTCTCGTATCGGACGCCTAGTCGGTTTTCGCGGGGGATCTCGGTCGAGCCAGGAGTCTTGCCTGGGATGAGTTGCTTGACAAGGCCCTGGGAGAGGACGATTCCTGCGCCGCCATAGGCGAAGTGGCGGCCTTCAG